TGCTGTACCAGCTATCTTCGCGTTTGGACTCTATCACCCTCTAATATCAGGTGGGGTGGTAGAGTCGTTTGCCTACCTGGTTATATAAAAAAAACAGATTTCTTAATTACATAAATACCATTTCGATTTCCGTGGCAAAATATCTTTGGAATCATTGTAAATATCCTTTATTCATCACGTGTAGGTGAAAAGGTAACAAGGATAAATTCAATTACATTGATGATAATAATTTGTTAACCTAGTTTACTTACCACATATTTCGTATCAAAATGGACGATAATAAAATTGTGTTATTCTCTAATAAACATCGATTTATGTTCTAATATTATTCATATGCTTGTAAACGCGATAGAACAATAAAGAAACGTACATATGAACTGACAAATGTTAAAAAGGAGTACTGTATGTTTGAGTTTTTACCGTTAAAATCACGGTTCTAGTTTTATATAATGTGGATTAGCAGTTGAATAACAGCACGACATCGTCAAAGAAACAACAAACAAATAGTCGCAAAAAAGGCAACAATGGTATAGTGAAAATTAAACGTGAGAAGCGAATACTTAATGAGCATTGAGGTGTTCGGGTCAATGTGCCATTATCTGTACAAGTATCTTTATTTAGTGAAATCTGTGCGTTAGGGTTTATGCTATGAAGTGATAACAAATAAACAAGTTAAGTAAGAGTTTGGACAATGAATATTTGACCTTGGTAGCCGAGTCCCACGTTGGGCGCCAGGTGCGAGGGTAGTCGTCGGAAGAGGGAGGATTGAATAATAACTCGCCAACGATAAGCTTGATATTGTATATTTTAAGATATAAATAGGAAATCTTACTGGGTTTCTTGAGTTTAAATTATTTTCAAACATTTCTAATTGTACCGGACATAAAAAAAATAACCAAGATGTGTTGTTCCTCTTATGAGATTTCAGCTTGACTGGCAACAATTTACTTTTTGACAGGCTTGACGGAATTGAGTTCAAATTAAATAAAAACCATTACCGATTTTAAAATTACTGGTGGCCAAAAAGAATATAGAGGAAATAGACAAAGGGAACTGTTGCTGCTATGCCACACCGTTACAGTGACTATAGACTAGCACGTAACTTCACAATCAATGATCGCTTAAACTTGTTAATTTTTAGTATTTTCAAACTTAGAATATGTCAGCGTTGATAATTAACAAGAACTAATGGATTCAACTATGTGTTTTGCTTATCTCTTGTATATTTCAATTATTAAGTTTTAACCCCACGCAAGGTCTGCAGAGCATCAAAAGTGCAGTAAACAATAAAAAAACTGTATTAGAAATCGTACGTATCGTAATCGTACAGGCAGATTGGTGTATAAAAACAATAGCGACGGACTTGAAAGAAATATATCATCATCATCATCAGCCTATTAATGTCCCCACTGCTGGGGCACAGGCCTTCCCTATGGATGGAATAGGGAGATTGGGCCCACCACGCGGGCCCAGTGCGGATTGGCGGGTGCTAACGTCTGCAGATGCTGCCAAAATCAACGGCTTAACGTGCCTTCCCAAGCACGTAGGAACTCGAGATAAAAGATTTTCGGTCACCCATCCAATGACTGACCACTGCGAAAGTTGCTTAACTTTAACGATCGCAGCCAAACGAGCTAACCACCTGCGCCATCGAGCTCCTCAAACACAACGGATTCAATAACACGTAGATACGATTAATGAAATATACAAAACAATAATAAGAAAACTGGTAGTGGTCTAATCTTCGCGGAATGCAATATAAGGTCGCTGAGCAAGTAATCCTTGGCACATACAAGGCAATCTACATAATGATGTCAACAGATTTTATAAGCAGTTATGAAGACAGCCAGGGTCTAAAATGATTTAATAAACCAAGTTATTTCTTTCTTAGGTTTTCACGCACACTACTCATTAAATAAAACTAGTTTCAACGGTATAGATGCACTGATTTATTTATCGTTGTTTGACGTTTCACAGCCTGAAAAGGATGATTTATTTATTTATGAAGTTTCGCATCCTTTTTAAACGTCATAAATAAATAAATCAGTGCATCTATACCGTTAAAACTTGTTTTATTTAAACCAAGTTAATTCACTCATTTGAAGTTAAGTTTAACGATGAGTTACAGTGTATGCTATTTCAAAACAATTTGTAGAATTTGGCTAAATCTACATAAGTCATACCAGGAATAAGTTAAAGATTTTCTAATAACAATTTTCTTTAGATTCAGAAATTGTTCATGAATAAAATATATTTAAGTAAATAGGAGGCTTCGGAAGGCACGTTAAGCCGTTGGCCCCGGCTGCACCTGCAGTCGTTACCACCCACCAATCCGCATTGGGCCCGCGTGGTGGGTCATGGCCCAAAACTCCCTATTTCATCCATAGGGAAGGCCTGAGCCCCAGCAGTGGGGACATTAATAGGCTGATAATGATGATGAAAGTAAATACTTTTTAAAATTTTGGTACTTCGTTAAACTTTATCTAATATACAAAATTCTCGTGTCACGGTGTGCGTAATTGAACTACTCCGAAACGGCTCAACCGATTTTCGTGAAATTTTAAATGCATATTCAGTATGTCTGAGAATCGGACAACATCTATTTTTCGTTTTCGAAGGACGATAAAGTCATGGTTGCAGGAACAATGTTTTTACTCTGTAGAGGAATATTTTAATTTTATGTTTAAATCCAGACATAATAAGTGACAAATTAATTAAGATTGTAATTTTTATTCTATGTGATATATATTTATTGTAGTGATTTAATAATATTTAATTGCTTGATAATTTGACATGTGTAAATGGAATAAATGATATAAAGTGTTATGATTGTAAATTTGACTAAAATTATAATTTATTTTTAATCAATAATATTATGGATTTCTTAACATGTTTATGTGATGACATATGACGATTAATTGACATGTTTAAATGGAATTAATGTTTTGGAATGTATAACAATAGTGTGACCAATTACAATATTAATATAAAATAATTTGATATTTGCATGCTAATTTAGCGAATCATGTTTGAGCACCATATGTATTGTAACATCTTTTTATTGTACCATGTTTCTTGTAAATAAATATGAATATGAATACATCCCCCTAAATGTAAAGGGTGGTGCACCCTTAAATTTTAATTGACACTATTTAAATTCTAAATAAATACATAGAAGCCTAAATTTTCATCCTTCTACCACCAACCCCTATTTTTTATGGCGGTACGAAGTTCGCTCGGACATCTAGTATAGTATATTTTTCTCATTAATTACCATACTTTCTCTGCGTAACCCAACACTAGTTGCGTTGCGTGTCGATTGCCGCACCTATGTTTAGTAAATGACGACATCACGTCGGCAAATGGTCCAAATAAAAAAAAATCAAGCCAGTGTAATCTGTTTATATCGCAAGTATCTTTCAATAAAAACGAGTATTAACATATTTTTCTGCCACATTAAATCATTAAATCAACTGAACGTTCCTATCGATCGAACAGTGGCAAAAAATTAATAACACTAAATAAGCCACTCTTTAGCGATTCTCGAAAAACTTACTGTCGTATTCACAGAACACAGAAAGGTTAGAAGGATGTTCATAGAGCGAACCTCCTTCTAACCAATGTCGCCGGCTCGCCCTCACTAGACTTCCACCTAATAGATAATAGCCAATCAAACCACGCGACATCAAACATTCGACCCAATCAGCTTTTACACCCGAGAGCAAAGAAGCAATCAGAACTACTATTTTTGGTCATGTTATAATAATTAATTGTGGTGCGTCTGCCCCGCTCACAAGGCTCTTCTAACCTCTTTCCGTGTTTTGTGGTCGTAATATTCTACCCACCCTGACATGTCCACCCGAACAATGTGTGTACAAAGTATATATACATATATTTTTTAAAGTTATGTCCGACAAATGACTCCACACCACCTGATGTTAAGTAACGGTGAAGTGCAGACGCGAAGACAGCTGATACAGCAGTTCTACCTACCACAGCCATCCTCACCCTGCCGGCCTGCATGTTACTTCTTCACGCCTCTTTTCAAGGATCCCAGGTTGTAATAGGGAGGGAACACGTGAGCGGGCAGAGCATTCCATTTACGGATAGTGCGACAAAGAAATGAGTTACCATTTGTTAAGGTAAGGCAAGTATGATCCCTAAGTACAACTACAAAACAAAGATGGAACACGTGAGCGGGCAGAGCATTCCATTTACGGATAGTGCGACAAAGAAATGAGTTACCATTTGTTAAGGCAAGGCAAGTATGATACCTAAGTACAACTACAAAACAAAGATAACTATGATACTTGGTTTACTTCTTTCTTTCTTCTTTTTAATTAAGCACCAAGTTAACAACAGATGCTGAATTTGTCATCATCATCATCAGCCGTTTAATGTCCCCACTGCTGGGGCACAGGCCTTCCTTATGGATGGAATAGGGAGCAAAAGTTGCTTAACTTCAACGATCGCAGCCAAGCGCGCTAACCTCCTGCGCCATCGAGCTCCTGAGCTGAATTTATCTTATATATAAAATTCTCGTGTCACAATGTTAGTAACCATACTCCTCCGAAACGGCCTGACCGATTTTTATGAAATATTATATTCATATTCCGTGGGTCTGAGAATCGGCTACTATCTAATTTTCATATCCTTAAGTGATAATGGTTGTCCACCTGTAACGTACTGTTCCGAAACCTACAATGCGTCTTCGCAAAAATTCAAACTATAGGGTATTGTAACGTAGTGATTTCATATGGGTTAGGAGGAATGTTATCCCAGGAAATTGATAGACGTTACACACCCCTAAAAAATTTTTGGACATTTTTTTTTTATAATAAGGTATTAAAAAAGACATACAACCCTAAATTTTCTCTTCTACCACCTGCCCCTATTTTTATGGCGGTACGAAGTTCGGTCAGCTAGTATCGCTATATAACTCAAGCTCCAGCCTTCCAAAACGTTCTCCAGAGATTAGAACCTGTCGGGGGTAACATTACCTCATGATCCCTGTAGAAAGGCTCCAGAAGGTTCTCGGGGACCCGATTGTTGAAGGCCTTCGATAGCAGCCATTTGATCGATGCCCGCTGCTTCGACTGCAACAAAAGGAGATCAAATTTTAATGGAATGCTGTAAAATTCTATAATAATGGTTTTCCTATTCAGAATATTGGTGCTAAATGCTTGATAGGACTAATTACGCAATGTAACCTTTAACTTTCAAATGGGGTATTTTACATTGACCCATATTATCGCGATACTAGGATCGCAATATCGCAAGTTGTAGCGGCGATACGACGATATCGTGATATTTTATAATGATTGACAGTGTAATATGCTCCATAGACAATTTTGCATTAAACAATGTTGTTGGACTATATAAACTATACGAAAATCAATACTTTTTTTTATACTTTTTATTCATTTGTTGCTAAAGCGACAAAAAGTAATATGTACTGTACCTTAGCACGAATCAATATCGAATTCGAATACTTAGTTTGCGAGTCCGAAATGTCATTGTCAAATTTTGTATAGAAACTTGAACAGCAGCGCCATTACGGACGTAACGAGAACTAAAAACCAGTACACATTTGACAATGACATTTCGTACTCACAAACGTTACAAATTCGATATTGGTTCTTGCTAAGGGTACTGAATACTATATTCAACTGTACTATTTTATTTAGACTAGGATTAAAAAGTGCTAAATTACTTATGGCGAATAGCTTTTATAACATTAACAAAGCAATCGCTTGTAATGTTTCACGCCTAATTAATATCCAATCTGCAGTTCAGCAGTAATTAAGACAAAATTAAAAACCGATAGAAACAAAGTACAAAGTGAACAACCAGTGTCAGCGTCGGTCATATCGTTCAAAGAAACGAGCTGCACATATACACAAGGCAATGCGTAATTGCGTACAATTATAGCTGTCATTATATCCAGTGAAGGTCTTCAAATGGTCACCTAATTACTTAAAGGGTTACCATCAGTCCGAATTAGTGTCAACATATCCGGATCATAGTAACGTATTATATATTGTTTTTATAAACGCGTTAAACGCTAATAGAAGAAGAGCCCAAACGGGGATTTTTGGATGTACTCGAGCGCGGCAGAATAACATATGGGGAGCAACCTTGCACGTAGTTAAGTACTCCCACTATACCTTAGCCATCTATGTAGGGCCGAACGTCTAGGGCAGCAAAAACAAACTTTCAACAAACGGCCATGACTTTTAGACGGGTCCAAATCGTCAGTCTTTTGAATAGGAGCTACTGGAGGGTTCACGTAACATCCTTTCTCAATGTCTGACGCGCTCGGTTATTTTTTCCTATATTCTACCCCTTCGTACCTCCACCCCCATATCATGCAAACCGAGGCAGATCAATATTTTTTTCGTTCTTAGAAACGTTACATGAACCCTCTAGTAGCTTATATTCAAAAGACTGACGATTTGGGCGCGACCAAAAGTCATGACCGTTCGTTGAAATTTTGTTTTTGCTGATCTAGACGTTCGACCCTACATAGAGGGCTCAGGTATGGTGAGAGTACATAACTAGGTGCAAGGTTGCTCCCCATATGTTATACTGCCGCGCTCGAGTAAATCCATAAATCCCCGCTTGGGCTCCTCTACTATAACGTTTAAGGAGATGTAGCGTACAAGGTATAAAGTAAAAAAAAAACGTGAAAAGTAATTAATTTTCACTCATGCATCCTTATCCCTGATGTCCGAGAAAAGTGTTTTATTAATAGCCCCACTGCAGGGGTACAAGCCTTTCCTATGGATGAGATACAGAGCCGTGGCCGAGTGGTTTGTTCGCCGGTTTCATGGTGTCACCTTCTCGAGAGATCCCGGGTTCAAGACCCGGTGGGGGGAGATGTTTGTGTCATAAATACAAGCACTTATACTCCAGTCATGGATGTTTAATATGAATTTGTATATAAATATACTTATAAATGTACAGTATATGTATTCTATACGGTACCCTAGCTAGTATCCCATAACTCAAGCCTACAGTGTTTACTTTAGGGCTTAGCTAATTTGCGGATAGATGTGAGACTGCAGATGCAGGCGGGATCAACAGCTAGACGTGCCTTCATAAACATTTTCCACCACCCATCCAATGATCGGACATTGCTAAAGTTGCTTGACATCCGCGATCGCAGACCGAACGCACAAGCTACATGGGTCATCAAGGATCAAGGTCTTCAGTCAGGACTTTAAAATTTTTAAATGTTAACCCTGCTTCTGTACCAGTAGTACATATTAGCGATGTAACGATTATCTGCATTCGCGAATATTCGCATATTTTTGAATATTCGCATTCACATTCGCATTCGCAAAATCTCTGCGAATGTTTTGCGAATATGAATAAAAAAAAACAATTTGACGAAGTTGTAGTTCTTCCTTTCCTTGAATATTTATTGTTACACAGCTTGCATTTAGCTCGTTCAGCATCGCAAAGTGTGAAATAAGTCCATATTTCACTAGAATTTGATTTACTATGTTAATTGATCACTATTCAAACTCCAACCTCAAAATTCACTTGTTTTGTTTACGAAAAGACCGGCGCAAGCGGAATGACACTTCAGTCAGATGAGTTCATATCAACTCGGCAATTCGAACGAGACTGCCACCATGCCATAGACAATTGGCGCCAATTTTGAACAAAAACATATATATTCGCATTCGCATCCGCGAATGTCGTTACCAGATATTCGCATCCGCATTCGCGAATGTTCAAAAAATTACATTCGTTACATCACTAGTACATATTCGCGCAAACGACTCGCTATTGAGCCGCGGTGCGCGCGCACAGGCCGAGTCGTATTCGATTGCTACAATTATTGTCGATCATGTTATGGCAACGTCCGCTTATTGTGATCGTTCATCGACTGGTGCGAGTGCGAGAGGGGGTCCTTGTCCCAATTCCCTTTACAACTGCTGATAAATACAACAGAGTCTCAAAAGCACCGATGGACGATCGAATTGATTGGCACGGTAAGGGCCACTATTCCACTTTAGTAACTTTAAACTTTTATTCATCAATACATCACATCCTATCAATCTATATATATACTAGCTGACCCAGCGAACTTCGTACCGCCCTAAAAAATAGGGGTTGTCCAGCGGACAAAATTGTGAATCGAAACCATTCTCAGATCCCCTTGAACACACACAAAAAAAATCATCAAAATCGGTCCAGTCGTTTAAGAGAAGTTCAGTGACATACACACTCACAGAAGAATTATATATATAAAGATATAAAACTCAAAGGTAACTGACTGACATAGGTGATCTAGCAACGTACAGCCCAAACCACTGGACGGATCGGGCTGAAATTTGGCATGCAGGTAGATGTTATGACGTAGGCATCCGCTAAGAAAGGATTTTGATCAATTCTACCCCCAAGGGGATAAAATAGGGAAAGAAAGTTTGTATGAAACTTTGTCAATTTTAAACCGATCGGGCTGAGACTTTGCATGCAGGTATAAGAAGAATCATAGATGAATGTCATTGTGTATAATACAAGCCTGAGAACAAAATATCTGTAGTCTACACTTCAGCTCTACACCTAAGCGAAGCGAGGGCGGGCCGCCAGTATATCTTTATATATATAATTCTTCTGTGAGTGTGTATGTCACTGAACTTCTCTTAAACGACTGGACCGACTTTGATGAAATTTTTTGTGTGTGTTCAAGGGGATCTGAGAATGGTTTAGATTCACAATTTTTTTATGGCGGTACGAAGTTCGCTGGGACAGCTAGTATATATTTAAAAATCATTTGTGGTTCGTTTGTTTGGCTAAAACTCGAGAACGGCCGGGCCTAATTAGCTGATTTTAGTTTTGGGAAGGTTTAAACTGTCAGAAAATATGAAATTGTAAGCGCTATGAAGTTTGCCGAGTCAGCTAGTAGTAGTTAATAAAAAAATGAGAATTCTCCCGATCGTTTCATCGTTTGTATTATATCTTAAGTTATTTGTTTTGTCAATGTACGATTAAATCACTTAAATGTAACTAAGAAACAACGTACGAAATAATAAAATACCATTAGCCGGTCTTACAATAGCGGGGTTAGTAGCATTAATATTATTTTTTATCTTTAAACAATATTTAAACAGTGCTAAGTTGAATGAAATGATAACACAAAAGTCATCAGATAAGCAAGACATTTATGCGCTTGCGCAGTTGGTGCAACAGTTTGTATCAAAACTGAGATATTTTCGTCATAGCTGTCTGGCAAGAACTACTAACTGCCAAAGATATGATATGAAATCTTTACTTGTTAATTAATTTAAATGACATTATGATATTAATGTAACTGATATTTCTGTTATTGCTCACTATATTAACTGGTATTTCTGATTTAGGATTCGCTTTTTCCTTGATTTCCAAAAACACGTGTTTTGCTTCACTTAATTTCTAGCAAACTTTAATGACTATGAATGATTTTTTTTAGACAGTGTACATACATGTACCATCATGAAAAATATCACACTAATATTATAAAGTCGAGAAGCTCGATGGCGCAAGTGGTTAGCGCGTTCGGCTGCGATCGTTGAAGTTAAGCAACTTTCGCAGTGGTCGGTCATTGGATGGGTGACCAAAAATTTACTATCTCGAGCTCCTCCGTGCTTCGGAAGGCACGTTAAGCCGTTGGTCCCGACTGCATCTGCAGTCGTTAGCACCCACCAATCAGCACTAGGCCCACGTGGTGGGTCATGGCCCAATCTCCCTATTCCATCCATAGGGAAGGCCTGTGCCCCAGCAGTGGGAACATTAATAGGCTGATGATGATTATAAAGTCGAAAGTTTGTGAGTGTGTATGTTTGTTCCTTCTTCACGTGTAAACGGCTAGAGCGTTTTAATAAAACTTGGTATTGAGTTAGCTGACACCCTGGATTAACACATAGGCTGCGTTTAACTGCAGGAAAACATCCCTAATAAAACGCGGGTAACACCGCGGGGCACAGCTAGTTAGAGACAAAACTTCCAGGGAGCCATTCGCCTAACGGAAATGCTTGGAATCGCTAACGCTTTCGATTTTATTTTGTTATTTATGACCGCCGAAGGTTTTGACGTGACAACGTCT